TCTGAATTATTTCACTTAGAATAATGCCCTCAATGTCTATACATGTTGTCAAATATTATAATATTTACTTTTTTAATGCCTGAACAATATCTGTATATACTACATCCTTATTCATCCATCAGTAGGCACTTAGGTTTTTTCCATGTCTTGGTTATTGTTAATAATGCTGCAATGAACATGGGAGTGCAGATATCTCTTTGAGATAGGGATTTTGTTTTCTTTAGCTAAACACCCAGAAGTGGGATTGTTAGATCTTATGGTAGTTCCATTTTTGATTTTTTGAGGAACCTCCATTCTGTTTTCCATAGTGGCTGATATTTACATTTCCAACAGCAGTGTACAAGGGTTCCCTTTTACCCACAACTTTCTCAACACTTACCTCTTAAGTGTTGATGACAGTCATTCTAACAGGTGTGAGGTGGTATCTCATTGTGGTTTTGATTTTCATTTTTGATAGTTCATATTTTAAAAGCCTTTAAACTGGTTATTTTAAAACTATAAGGGGATGGGTATAGGTAGAGAAGTCAAGAGGCCCTAGGGATGAGCCCTGGGCCAGGTCAATACATAAAGGTTGGATTGATGAGTATACTGTTTTACTATTACTGATGAAACAAATTACCACAAATTTAGTGGCTTAAAAAACACTAATTTATTCTTTTATAGTTCTGGAGATGTGAAATGTAAAATCAAGGTTTCATCAGGGCTTCAAATGGCATTCTTTTTGGAGGTTGCAGGGGAGAGTCTGTTTCCTTGCCATTTTTTTTTTTATCTTCTAAAGGTCATCTGCTTTTCTTGGCTCACCCTTCCTTGCATTACTCCAACCTTTTGCTTCCATCATCACATCACTTACTACTGACTCTGATCCCCCTGTTTCTCTTATAAGAATCCTTGTGATTACATTGGACCCACTTGGATAATCCAGGATAATCTCTCTGCCTCAAGATCCTTAACTCAATCACATCAACAAAGCCCTTTTAACCATGTATGGTAACATAGTCATAGGTTCCCACTGTTAGGACATGGTTACCTTTGAGGAACCAATATTCAACTTCCCACAAGTAGGAACCAGAAGATAAAGTCAAAGGAAGCATCATCTTGTGAGGTAGACAGAGAACAGAGGAATGTGTTCTGGAATGAGGTGAAGACAGTTCTTCAAGGAGAAAGGAATGATCACTCTGTTATATGCACTCATTGATCCAGGAAAATGCAGATGAGAATTGACTTTTAGATTTAACCTAATGGAAATCATTGCTGACACTGACAAGAACTACATTAGTGGAAATGTGGAGGATGAAAGCCTGACTGGAGTAGAATCAGAAGATGGAGCAGGCCCAGCTTCATGGGTATAAGATCTGTACAGTCCCTTAAGGCCCCACTCTTAGATGAGTCTCACATTTGGATTAATGTTCTACTGTCACTGTCTGGTAATTCTTAATTTTGAAAAAGGGGTCCTCACATTTTCATTTTGCACTGAACACAGCAAATTATGTAGCTGATCCTGCAATGGATGAAAAAGAATTGGAAACAGTGGTTATGGATAAATCTGTCAAGGAATTTTATGGAAATGAGGTCAGAAAAATGGAGCCAGAGGAGGAAGTGGAGTCAAGGGAGAATTTTTAAACTTAAGATGGCTGCTTTCTAGTTTGGTGCATCCTATGTAACAACAGAGTTAGGGCTGATCAGGAATGATTGTCCCTATTGCCAGATGTCCCACATGTGGTTTTAGCTGAGTTTACAGCATGATTTCATGGATCCCTGCATAGGAAAACACACCTATGCTTCCTCGGCTCACCATCATTATTTTTCCATTGGGTTGGTGGTTTCATGCAGGAAGGATCAAAACCTTATAAAATTAAACTCCAACATATCTTCTTAATCTATCAAGCTCATGTCACTCTGAACTCTGGTATATGAGATTAATTTTCCAGGCTTTGTTCTTCACAGAGCCATGGTCTTTTAGAAGCATTTGCAAATTGACTTTTATCAGGATTTGCTCTAGCATCTTCCCAGGCATACCAGTTAATCTGACTCAGGGCCAGAGTCATTGATTGCTGTCCTCAGGAAAGACACACTGTTGGCATTTGTCCAAGATTCAGGCATTTTCCCCCCTATGCATCATAGTCACTGGAAATAAATTTCACTGTGAAGGCCTGATGACCACACTTAACAAATAACCATCCAAAGAGCTTACACTAAGCAGCCAAACCTATCAACTCTCCCTTCTACCGAGTAAGTAAAGGCCTCATGAAGCAATCTAACCTTGATCATTATAGATTGGAAGTTTTCAGAAATCCCTGAGATGAATGCTATTGAAACAATTAACTGGAAAAGAAAAACTGCCAGTTTTTCAAACCATCTTTAATACTTATCTACAATTATTTTACTTATTGGAGCAAATTATCTTTTGTATAACAGCTTCAATTTTGCCCAGGGATAATTCTTCAATGAACTCCATATTAGCAATTTATAAAATTTAAATAAAATAGTGCCATCTTATATTTGGAAGTTTCCAATTTATACAGGACTTCCTTTTCTTTCCCCTTAAATTGACAGCATTACAGTGCTTCCCCTAGGTATTTATTCAATTAGTTCCTGAAGGTTTGCAGGTGACAAGGGCAGACGGATGAAACAGTGGACAGATGGATGGAAGGACAGGTGTCAGGATAATTTTAAAAAACACTTTACTCTTATTAATTGTTTCCTTTAAAATTTTTAATTGAAGTATAGTTGACATACAATATTACATGTTTCAGTAGCATAAAAGTGATTTGAGGATTACATAAATTACAAATTGATCATCATGACAAGTCTAGTAACCATCTGTCACCATACAAAATTATTACAAAGTATAGTATTGTTGACTATATTGTCTATACAGTGCATTGCATCCTCATGACTTATTTATTTCATAACTGGAAGTTTGTACTCTTGATCTTCCTATCTATTTCGCCCAACCCACTTCCATGCTTCCCTCTGGCAAGCACCAGTTTGTTCTCTGTATCTATGAATCTGTTTCTATTTTGTTTTGTGTGTTTGTTTGGATTTTTAGATTCCACATGAAAGTAAAATTATATGGTATTTATCTTTTTCTGTCTGACTTATTTCACTTAACATAATACCCTTCAGATCCATTGATGTTGCAAATGGCAAGATTTAATTCTATTTTTTAATGCCTGAGTAATGTTCCATTTTATACATATACCACATCTTCTTTATCCATTAATCTATCAATGAACACTTAGGTTGCTTTCATTTCTTGGCTATTGTAAATAATGCTGCAATAAATATAGGGGTGCTTCCATTTCATGGCTATTGTAAATAATGCTGCAATAAACATAGGGATGCATATATGCTTTTGAATTAGTGATTTTAATTTTCTTCAGCTAAAAACACAGGAGTGGAATTGCTTGATCATATGATAGTTCTCTTTTTTTTGAGGAATCTCCATATGCTTTCCATAGTAGCTGCACCAATTTACATTCCCACCAACAGTGCATAAAGTTTCCCTTTTCTCCACATCCTTGCCAACACTTTTTATTTGTGGCCTTTTTGATTATAGCCATTCTGAGAGGTGTGAGGTGATAGCTCATGAGGGTTTGTTTTACATTTCCCTGATGATTAGTAATGTCGAGCATCTTTTCATGTGCTGGTTGGCCATCTGTATGTCTCCTTCAGAAAAATATTTATTAATTTTCTCTGCCTATTTTTTTTTGTTTGTTTTGTTTTGTTTGTTTGTTTTGCGGTACACGGGCCTCTCACTGCTGCGGCCTCTCCTGTTGCGGAGCACAGGCTCCGGACGCGCAGGCTCAGCGGTCATGGCTCACGGGCCCAGCCGCTCCATGGCATGTGGGTTCTTCCCAGACGGGGGCACGAATCCATGTCCCCTGCATCGGCAGGCGGACTCTCAGCCACTGTGCCACCAGGGAAGCCCTCTGCCTATTTTTAAATCAAGTTTTTTTTTTTTTTTTTTGATTTTGAGTTGTGTGAATTCTTTATATATATTGGATATTAACCCCTTATTAGATTTATCATTTGAAAATATCTTCTCTCCCATTCAGTAGGCTGCCTTTTTGTTTTGTTGAGAGTTTCCTTTTTTGGCAAAAACTTTTTAGTTTGATGTAGACTCATTTGTTACCCTTGCCTGGGGAAGATAGAACCAAAAACACATAACTAAGTTTGTTGTCAAAGAGTATACCACCTATACTAGAATTCTTATGCTTTCAGGTCTTACATTTGAATCTTTAATCCATTTTGAGTTTACTTTTGTATATGGTGTAAGAAAGTGGTCCAGTTTCATTCTTTTGCATGTAGCTGTCCAGTTTTCCTAACCCCATTTATTGAAGAGACTATATTTTCCCCATTGTATATTCTTGACTCCTTTGTTGTAAATTAATTTACCATATAAGTATAAGTTTATTTCTGGGCTCTCTATTCTGTTCTATTGATCTATGTTTTTGTGTCAATACTTTACAGTTTTGATTACTGTTGCTCAGCAGTGTAATTTTAAATCAAGGAGTGTGGTACCTCCAGCTTTGTTCTTCTTTCTCAAAATTGCTTTAGCTGTTTGGGGTCTTTTGTTTTTCCACACAAATTTTAGAATTATTTGTTCTAGTACTGTGAAAATGCCATTGGCATTTTGATATGGATTGCATTGTTCCATAGATTACCTTGGTTAGTATGGTCACTTTAACAGTATTAATTCTTCTAATCCATGAGCATTATATATCTTTCCATTTGTTTGGTCATCTTCAATTTATTTCATCAACGATGAATAGTTTTCAGTGTATAGGTCTTTCACCTCCTTGGTTAAATTTATTCATAGTATTTTATTCTTTTAATGCAATTGTAAATGGGGTTGTTAGTTTCTTTTTCTGATAGTTTATTAATGTGTAGATATGCATCAGATTTCTGTTATATTGATTTTGTACGCTGTGACTTGAATACATTTATTAATGTGTTCTAATAGATTTTCAACTCTTTAGGGTTTTCTATAAATAGTGTCATGTCATCTGCAAATAATGACAGTTTTACTTCTTCCTTTCCAATTTATATGCATGCCTTTATCTCTTTTTCTTGTCTAATTGCTGTGGTTATGACTTCCAATACTCCTCATGTTTTGCTTTTTCCAAAATTTTTCATGTAGTTGATTTCTAGTCTCATACTGTTGTGGTGGGAAAAGATGCTTGACAAGATTTCTATCTTGTAAAATTTATTGAGACTTGTTTTGTGGCTTAGCATGTGATTTATCCTGGAGAATGTTTCATGTGCACTTGAAAATAATGTGTGTTCTGCTGCTTTTGGATTGAATGTTCTATATATATCTATTAAACTTATCTGATCTAATGTATTGTGGTTACCATGGGTTCATATATAAAAACCTATTTATATAGCAGTCTATTTTAAGTTAAAGTTCACTTACATTCAAATGCATTCTAAAAGCACTACAGTTTTATTTCCCTGCACCATGTTTTATGTTTTGACATCATATTTTATGTCTTTTTACTTTTTGTATCACTTAATTATTTTACATATACATAATTTTACTACTTTTGTCTTTTGACCTTCATACTAGCTTTATAGGTAGTTGATCTTTACTATATGTTTGCCTTAACCAGTGAGATTTTTTTCTTTCATAATATTCTTGTTTTAAAAAACCTCTGTTTAAAGAAATCTCTTTAACATGCCTTGTAAGGTGCCAAATTTCTTTCAGCTTTTGCTTTTTATCTCTCTTTCAATTCTGAATGATAGCCTTGCCAGGCAGAGTATTATTGTTTGTAATTTTTTTTTTCATTCAGCACTTTGAAAGTATTATGCAATTCCTTATGGCCTATAAAGTTTCTACTGAAACATCAGCTGATAGTCTTATAGGGGTTTCTTCATATGTAACTAAAATTTTTTTCTTGCTGCTTTGAAGTCTGTCTCTTTAACTTTTGACATATTAATTATAATGTGTCTTGTTGTGTGTCTCTTTGTTTTCATCTTGTTTGGGACTCTCTGTGCTTCCTGTACTTGAATATCTGTTTCCCTTGGCAGACTGGAGAATTTTTAGTCATTATTTCTTCAAATAGATTCTCTGTCTCTTCTCTCTCTCTTCTTCTGGGATGCCCCTATAATTCAAATGTTAGTATGCTTGATGTTCCAGAGGGCACTGAAACTTTCATCATTTTCTTGACTGTTTTTTTCTTTTGCTGTTCTGATTGTGTGGTTTTCACTACTCTCTCTTCTAGATAGCTGAACTGTTAATCTGTCTCCTCACTGGTGTATTTTTTATTTCAGTTATTGTATTTTCATTTATGACTGACTTTTTATATTTTCTCTCTCTTTGTTGAAGTTCTTACTGGGGTCATCCATTCTTCTGAGTTTGGTGAGCATATTTAAGACTTTTAATTTGATTTTTTTTCTAATAACTTGCTTATATTTGTTACATTTAGTTCTTTTTAGGATGTTTGTCTTTTTCTTTCATTTGGAAGGTATCCCTTTGTCTCCTAATTTTGTGTAACTGTGTTTGTTTCTATGTAATGAGTATATCAGCTATGTCTCCCAGTTTTAAAAGAGTGGCCTCAGGTAGAAGGTGTCTGTGAAGCCCAGAGGCAAAATTCCCACCCTGTTCACCAGAGTCAGGTGCTCCAGGGGTATCCCCAGTGTGGGCTGCATGCACACTCCTATTGTAGTTGTGTTGCAATTGCTGTGAGTGTGCTTTGGGGAAGCATTGGCTCCCAGGCTGGCTGGCTGCAAGGCCCAATTGCAACTGCTATGAACACTTTGCTGGGTGGGGCTGGTTCCTGGTCCAGCTGTGTATGAGGTCAGCCATGGTTGCTGTGTGTGTGCTGGTGTGTGGGGCTGGCCCCTTGGAGTGGGAACCACTTTGGAGGCGAGTAGTGCTGGCAAACACCACTTGCCATGTGAGGCCGAGTTGGACCCCTAGGAGCTCCAGAGCGGTGCCAGTGTCAGCTGGATTTGCCTGCTGGGTAGGGTGGGGTGGAAACTATTTTGGAAGAGCTGGCTGGGCAGGTCACATGGTGTTAGGTAGGTTGATTGAGAGTGACAGAAATAGTATCTGCACTGGGCCAGCTAGGTGGAAGGAAAGTTTAAGAAAATTGGTGCCCACCAGCATTTCCTACCCTGGAGAAAAATTCCAACAGATCCCTGTTCCTCTGGCTCATGCCCTAATATTAGTCAATGAATCTTCTTTTTGAATGGCCCAGGTGCTTTTCAAGCTGCTGTCTCTTTTCTGGGACTCAGAGTGAGTGAGTTTGTACAGACTCACTCCCTTCAAGAGTGGGAATCTTGGTTTCCCACAGCCTTCTGGGTCTCCTGGATGTAAGTCTGCTGGTTTTCAGAGCCAGACATTACAGGAGTTCATTTTCCTGGTATAAGTTCCCTTGTCTTGGGAACCCAATGTGGGACTTGAACCATTAACTCCTCTGGGGGGAACTCCATGGTTGTGAAATCATTCCCACTTGTGAGTTGCTGCATCAAGGGTGTGGGTTCTGACTAGACCACATCTTTGCCCCTCCTACATCTCTTGATCTGGCCTTCTCTTTATATCTTTAGTTGTATAAAATCTGTTCTGCTAATCTTCAAGTCATTCTCAGAGATATTTAATCTATATGTAGTTGTAGTTTTGATGTGTCCACGGGAAGAAGTGAGCTCAGGATCTTCTTACTGTGCCACCTTGATCTGGACCTGGTCTCAAGAAAATTGAATCAGACTTTTCATTGATCTACTCTATTGTTCCTTACCAATTATATACAGTAACACAAGGTTAGAAAATATAATTTTTGCAAGCAAGCTGCTTACATTTTAATTGGAGAGACAGATAAATGGACAAGAAATGCCCACATATTGTGGGAGGTAGAATGTAATCAAAGCCTGAGACTTTGGGATCCTTCCTTTCCTTCCTAGCTTTTCTTAATCTTAAGTCTCTTCATGGTGCTCAGACTTCTCTCCTTGGTTTACTTTCTTTCTCTTATATTTTCCATCCTTACCACCCTTCCATCTACACTTACCTGTTTCCATATTTATTCTTAATTGATAACAAACCATTCCTAATATGTGAGTAAATGAATAGGCTGCCCTTCTTACACAACATTGCTAAAAATTTTAAGTTTAGTTATGATTCTAAAGAGGTATTTTCTTCTCCAACTTTCACTTAAAAATAAACTTTGAGTGACAACTCCAGATATTTTACTAGGCAAATGTGGCACCCTAAAAAAAATCATAGTCATCTAGGGCCAATTAATATCTGCTTTGGGGGAATATACAATTTATAATAATTTCTTAACTTATATAAGATTTTGAAGTTTCATGAATGTTTTCAGGTATGATTTATCATTTGATATTTATATCAAGCTTATAAAAACTAATTCATTATAATTTATAGATGAGGAAACAAAGGACCAGGCCAGAGTCACACAGCTAGTAAATAATAGAATTTCAACCACATCTACTTGCAATTTTCAAATCTAGTGCTTTTTCCAAGATTTTTACTGCTTCTCCAATTCCAAAGGCCAGGTTTCTGAAAGTGCTAGTATTTGACTTGAGTGAAAGGAAGGAAGGAAGAAAGAAAGAAAGTAAGGTAGGGAAGGAGTGAAAAGAAGAGTGAAGGGAGGAAGGAGAGAAAAGAAGAAAGGAAAGAGTGAAGAAAGGAAGGAAGGAAAGAAGAAGAGAGGGAAATGAAGGAAGAAAAAAGGAAGGAAAGAAGGTAATATAATGTAAGAATATCAATTAAGGTACAGGTGGGAGTTGAGTCAGCCGACTGAAGATGCCCTATGTCAAGTGTGGTACCCAAGAGGATGTAAGTTTTTTCCATAGACTCTTCTTTTATTGCTTTTCCCAGCAGCAAGTCAAAAGTAAGAGAATTCACTAAGTTAAAATAGTTGGCTAAGTACAGAATTTCCTTTGTCATATTGAAGCTTGAGTTAATAAATTAGAAAAGTAACAGCTGTAGAGGCATCTGTAGTTTCATAAGTTTAAGATCTCTAAAGCAGTACGGCATATTTATCAGATGATTAGCTAGGTAGAGACTTTATAAAAGATTACCTCTCTGCTGTTTGATGATCTTTGATTAAGGTAGAACAGCTTTAGTTCTGAAAGATAAAATTAACTTAAAGTAGGCTTAATATATTATTCATATCTATAAAAAGAACAGATCAGAGGTAGAAAAATTTAGTGATTTGGGTACTAATCTATAAGGAAGCTATTTTTGATTAAACCAGCCCCCACTAGTATCTCTCCTTTCTTGTTTTCCATATTAATTATTGAATCTACTTTATAGATTTCATCATTTTGCTTGTAGTTTACTGTGGTAATCTTATTTCCCTTCTGGATATTTATCTTGCTATCAGTGACATGTCAAATACTTTTTAAAATGAATTCCTGATAATATTTATCAGAATAATTGCATAAAGAAATTCAGAAGTACCCATTTTAATTAAAATACCTTGAAAATTTTATCAAACGGATAACTTTCTTTAAGAAAAAATCAAATAAAATCTCCTACTTTATTCTCTTTCTTATATAAGGAGATGATTTCAAATAAAGCTATCCACAAGAGTTGTCTTCAACCATCTCATCTTCTTCATAGAATGCTGCATACAGTGAAATCTCTTTAAACTAATATTGCTATTTCAAATAATTAGAACTTAGAAAAGGTGTGATTCTTAGTTAATTTTCCCTACAGTTCTTTAATAAAAATATTTTTTTAAAATGTATAGATCAAGGAAGGTATATTTCATATTGTTACAATACTGAATCTTACAAACCATGGATATGGTACCTCTTTCCATTTATTAAGTCTTCTCTAATTTCTCTCATGTCTAGTAGTTTTGTTTGTAGAGAGTTTGCATATCTCGTGTTAAATTTATTCTGGGTATTTGATGTATTTTAAAGCAATTTAAAAGTTATAAGTATACAGTTTTTATTTTCCAAATTTTGCTTATATTTAGAAATAAATTTGATGTTTATTTTAATATTGTGTACACAAACATTGCTGAAATTACCAATTAATTTTACTAATTTTCCTAAATTATATCATACACAAACAATGACAATTTTTTCCTTCTATTCCAATACTTTTCCTATTTATTTATTTAACCCCAATGCACTGGCCAA